CCCTGCCACTCCCCCAATGCCCACGGGGCCTCCCCTCTCCCCGGCGGTGAAAGTGTCCACGCGTGTGGTAGTTTAGTGTGCCGAGCTGTTTTCTACCTTTTTGTAGTCTTTCTTAAAACACAATAAATTCCGCTGTGATATTTGTCTGCTGCTGACTTGCTGGGCCTTGCTGGGGGCCATGGGCTGGGGGCTCCAGCTGGGCCCTGGAGCTGCAGTAACAGGACCTCAGCCAAGTTCAGAAATAAAGCATTTACTACATGAAGAGGAACAGGTGGGGGCGGCTAGCCGGTTCCCGCCTCAGGAGGGAGCCTTGGGTGGGTAGGTCCACCCCACCTCCCCCAGGGTCTCGTGCAAACCTGCAGCCAAGGAAAGGGGCAGATGCACAGGAGCCGGCCCGGGCCCAGCTCGGGGTGAAGGTGGGTCTTGAGGCTGGGGGGCAGGGGGCTCCCCCCCTCTGCCCTTTCCCAACTTAAATAGGCATAAATAAAAAAGCGTCCAGACTCTCAGGCCACCAGGGGCTGCCCCGCCCAGCCCCCTTCCCGCAGCCTAACACTAGTGCCGGTCGGCAGCCGGCCGGGAAGAGGCCAGCCCGCAGGCCGCGGAGGTAGTTGGAGTCAGTGTCCAGGGCGGCCGGACCTCACAGCACAATCCACGTGTACCGCTCGCTGTCGGCCAGAACCTTCAGGGAGCAACCTGCAGGAAGAGCAGAGGCAGCTGTGAGCCTTAGGCAGTGCCCTGGTCAGGGCCGCACCTGCCTACGAGCGCCCTTAAGCTAGGCCCAGGCGGCCGCCCTCCCCTGGCCCTGATTCCACGAGGTCCACTGGAGTGTCCAGCTGCACATTCATTCAGCAGGTGCCTCTGCGGGCAGGTGACCCGGCCAGCAAGCACATCAGGTCCCGAGCCCCACCTTTGTGCAGAGCCTCATTGGTCATCCTGTTGACATAGCGGCCACTGCTCTCAGGCACCAGCCACTTCATGACCATGTCCACGCAGCTCTTTCGGTAGGAGCTCCAGACACTGCCGCTGAGGGGGGAGGGGGTGAGTGGCGCTTGGGACCCTAGCTGTCACCCCCTCCCCCTCCCCACCAGCTCCACCTCACCTGGTCTGCCCTTTGACCTCAGTGAGGTCACCCACACTGACGGTCTCAAAGATGCCCGTATTGAGGTCCCATGCCACCTTGAGGCTGGTGTGATAAGTCTTTGGTCTGTAGCGGGGTGGGGGAAAGAGAGAGGACAGGGAGGTGGAGGCAGGGCAGGGAGGCGGAGACAGGACCAGGAGGCGGAGACAGAGGACCAGGAGGCGGAGACAGAGGACGGGGAGGCGGAGTCTGAGGACGGGGAGGCGGAGTCTGAGGACAGGGAGGAGGAGTCAGAGGACAGGGAGGCGGAGACAGGGGATGGGGAGGCGGGACCAGGCGGGCCGTGGGTCCCTACACTGCGCCTGTCTTTAGGTCACATGGGCAATCTAGGTTCTGGCCTGCTGAGTGGTCTCCCCACATGCCCTGCCCTGGAGAAGGGCTGGGCAGGGCTCCTCCACCCACTCACCGGAGCTGGCCCTCCTCACTGGGGGAGGGGAAGGCCAGGAGCAGCAGGCCGATGTTGATGAGGACCTGGCTGGTTTCGGGGCAGACCTGGAAAGCGGAGGGGACGCTATTCATGGTCACCCCTCAGAGCAGGAGAGGCTTGGGCCCACCCTGCCCCACGCCTGGACCCACCTCCAGAATGACTATGTCATAGTCACTGAAAGAGCAGAATTGGTGGCCCCAGGTGGCATCATGGCGAATGACCTCGTTGATGACGTACTCGAAGTCCAATGTGAGCTGCTCCACTGTCAGATACTGGCCCTGGGGGCAGTGGGTGGAAAGCAGGGGCATGATGGTACCAACTGCCACCCACCAACTCCTGGGCCCCCTGTGGCCTGCCCACTGCCCAGCCCCCACCTGGACAGCGGTCCGCTCCCGCATAGGCCGTAGGTTGCGGCCCCGGAGATCGGTCACCACGAAGGGCAAGGAGATCTTGTCATCCTCGAACTCTGGGGAGGCAGGAAGTGGGGTTAAGGGTGCTGGGACGCCCGAGGGTCCTCCCCAGCCCGCACCTCGGTGGGTGGCCCCGCTCACCATCCTCGGGCTCGGCACCTTCTCCGGACTCCAGCACGTAGTACAGCTTGGTGTAGTTGACGTAGCCGGGCTCGGGGGCGGGGGCCTCCACGGCTGGGGGGCTGTCCCTAGGCACTGCCTCCCCACTTGGGACTGGGGGATCGGAGGCTGGGCAGGGGGGCGGCCGCGTTTCCTCAGAGGTCCCCCCCTTGGCCTCTTTGGCCCTGCGGAAGATGTCAGCCACAAACTCCTTGGCTTTGGCGATGGCAGGCGAGGGCTCAGGGGCCCCGGAGGGCCGGGTGGGGGCCGTCTCAGGGCTGAGGCTGGGGAGGGCGGGGGACACCTCTGGGCTCCGGGGCCCAGGGTGGGTGGGCGGGGCCAGGGGGGAGGCGGTGTGATCATACAGGATCTGGCAGAAGCTGCTGTCGCCTGTAAGGAGAGGGAGGGAGGTAGGGGGTCAGGACAGGAGCTGAAGCGCAGGACACTCCTAACGTGACCCCGAGGGCTTCTCAGAAATGCACCTCAGGGAGACCCTCCTGAACCAGCTCATGCCGAGGGGTCTGAAGCACCAGGTCGGGCACACAGCGCAGGCGGCCTCCTTCAGACCCTGCCCTCCCTGCTCCCCTGTGCCGTGCCAAGAAGACACAGGTGACCAAGACTCACAGAGCCCAGTCCTTGGGAGACCAGAGTCCACAGTGGGGATGGAAAAAGCCACACAATAAACTCAGCTATCTAGAAAGAGGAGTGCAGGCACAGACTGGCCCCTCCAGGCCTCTGTAGCCACTGGTCCAGAGCCAGGCTCCCGAGGAGCAGGGTGCCCAGCCAGTGTGCCAGCCTGCCCCCCACAGTGCCATGGCGGGGCCTGCACAGGGCCTCCTGGGAACCCCCAGAGCCACCTGGGAGAGGGGGCCGTGTCCCCAGAGGGAGGCTCCGAGAGGAGCGTGTCCCAGGCCACACAGTGAGACAACCCAGGTGGGTCCTGTCCACCACAGCCTGGCACGTCGGGGAGTGAAATCTGGAAACGGCTGAGCAAAGAGTGCCCGGGAGCAGGCTTCCCAGTGAGTGTGGCACTCGTGAGTGGCCCTGCCCTGGGCTGGCAGAGATCAGGACCCACAGCCAAGAGGGTAGAGAGCCCCCCCAGGGCTCACAGCCAACAGCTGGGCCTCAGCGAGCGGCAGGGCCTCACCCACGCTGCCTGGGAGATCCCTGGGTGCCCGGGACTCGAGTGCCCCTTCCTGGCAGTGGACTTAGTCACCACATCTGATCCTGCCTCCCCCGCCCCCAGAACCCCCATTCTATTGGGGATTTACAATGGTGTGAGTGTAGTTGACTGAGCTCTTCCAAAGTTAAGACGTATTTTTGGTTGACACCAGGTGGTTAGGGTCAGGCTTCTACCTCGGCCCATGGCCCTGACATGCTCTGCGGATGGACACGGGGCGCCCATGGTGCCCCTCGGGATGCCCCTCACACGCTGGTGAGCATCTCCTAGAGGAAGTGACCTGGGCATGGGGCAGAGCTGCTGGGTCAGTCCATTGCCACAAGGCCCCCAGGACGCCACTGCCAGCCAGTGGCTTCCTCTCACTTCCCCAGTGTCACTCTATCAGAGGACATGTTCAGACTTTTCACTGCGATTTCTCTGCTACCCAGAGGTAAGAGGACTGTCCACCAACCACGCCCTGACAGTCATGTGGGGTGCCTGGTCAGTGGACCACGCACACCACACAGCGCAGAGCCTGGGTGTGCGGCCACCACACCCCCGGGTTTGTTGAGCGGATACTATAACATCCACGTGGCATGAAATCGCCCTACAGCACACTGCCCAGAATGTGCCCCGTCAAGTGACAGGTCACTGTATTTTTGTCAACATCTTTTTTAGCAGTGCTGGGGATGGACCCAGTGCCCTGTATGATGAGACAGTGCTGAACGACACCCTGAGCCCTCGGCACTGCCCACACAGTAGCTGCCAGACAGATCTGGCTGCTGAAATGTAAAATGGCAAAAATTAAATAAAACTAGAATATCAGGGGCTGGGGTTGTGTTTCAGCACTAGAGCACTTGCCCAGCACACAGGAGGCCCTGGGTTCCATCCTCAGCACCATAAAAATAACTAAATAAAATAAAGCTATTAAAAAAAAAACCCTCAGTTACAAAAAGTTACTGGAGATGACCACAGTGGACAACGTAGCCACAGTACACCCTAGCCCTACAGAAAATTCTAGTCAACAGTGCTTTGGGGAGGATGGGCTTGGATCTGAGCATTCCTGCTTCCTGGCGGTGACCTCACAGGAAATACGTCACGTCTCTGAACCTCGGTCTCCTCATCGCACCCTGGGGCAGGAATGA